CTAAAAAGTGGAAGTATTGCTCGAGCGGTCGTTTGTCAAAAAATCCACGTTCATTTACATATACAATTGCGGTTCAGGTCCGAGCTTCAAGCGATTTTTTTGAAAATATGCAAGTTTTCAGTTCATTAAAAACTGAAAATATTGCTCGAACGGTCGTTTTTCAAAAAATCCATGTTCATCTGCATATACAATTACGGTTCAGGCCCGAGTTGCTAACTATTTTTGGGTTGAGGAGCTGCCTGAGGCTGTGGTTGGGGTGCTCGAAGCTGAGTTTAAAATCTTCAGCTCGCACACGTGCATAGGGAATATCACTGCAAAGTTTCAGCTTTCTAAGTTGCCTGGTTCGCGAAATCGCTTCCCGTCAACATATTTCTTCGGGATCCCATACGCGAGGTCTAAGCGCGTATAGGGAAAGATCTTAAAATGCGAGGATGACACACGGGGTAGGAACATATATCCAAAGTTTCAGCCTCCCATTCCTTGTTGCTGAGATGAAAGTGGGTGACAAAATGCGCTCGCTTTCCGAACACACACAGACACAAACAGCTTTTCGACAACATGTGTTTTTGCTGGCTGTAGCAGCGCTATAGCGCTGCACAGCAAAAACGCATAATATGCAGTTTCTGTTTAGCCGTAGTTGCCAGAGCGGTCGTTCGTCAAAAAATTCAAATATTTAAATAAATTGGATGTTGGGAGAGAATGGGGACGGTAGTTAGCTGCAAAACGCATTTGTTTCCGATTTTTTAGTCAAATTAAGCATTTCACGTAAACACCTGAAGGGAATATCACTTCCAAGCAAAATTAAGACCGCACTTGAAAGTAGAATATCCCAGCGAAGTTTCAACCTCTCACTTTATCCGATAAACGTAATAGCCACTTTGCTATAAATATCTTTGGTGTCCCTAAATCACGGCTCAAATGCAAATCGAAACTCAGTTAAGGTATGATTTCTCATATGGACGGCAAAGCCTCTATTTTCTACAATTATATTTTCCAGCTTTTATTCTACTTTCAAAAAATTATATTTTATTTTCTTTCAAAAAAAAATCTACTTTCAAAAAAAAAAATTATATTTTCTAAAATTATATTCTAAAAAAGCCTCTATTTTCCGGCTATTTTTAGAGTTAGCACAGTGTCAAGTGCAAAACTGGAGGCTGCAACCTTATTTGACGTGACCTACGCACTGTACTAACGTGTGCGGCAGTTGGATCTGAAATCTTTAGCTTGCACATGCACAGAGAATACCCCTGCAAAGTTTCAGCCTTTTGCCTTGTGTGGATAGCAAATTTGTCTCCCACCAAAGATATTTGCATGTTTTTTCATGGGTCCGTACACGAGGTCCGACGAGTACGGGCGAAAATTTTAAAATGAGAGAGTGGCACACTGGATGGGAATATATAGCCAAAATTACAGCCTCCCAGTTTTCCTGGTTGCTGAGACGAAAGTGGATGACAAAATTCATTCGCTTTCGAACACACACACACAAACACCTCTCGACAATATATGTTTTTGACTGCTCCAGCGGCGCTATAGCGTTGCACAACAAAAACGCATAAAAACTTGAAGGGATGAAACAGCAGAAAATATTCGAAATAGCGTTTTTCATTTTAAGCAGCGAGCAAAGTAGATTTTAAACTTAACAGATTCTGCTTAAGACAAAATACTTACGGTATTCGTTGAAAAGATTTAAGAACACTCGTGCTTTGTTGAGGTCACCGGTAAAAGCAGCGCCGCAAACGGTACACTTTAAGTCTGGTTCTTTGTCGTCCGGATCCAGCGGACAATAGCCATCCTCGCATTGTATACAAGCCAGCGAATATTTCATGTAGTCCTATAAATTTCGGACGTTCAGGTACTAGTCAGTCCAATCGAAAACTTGATGCTGAACTAGCAAGATTCAGGAGACAAATCTGTGGCTTCCAAATACAAATTTTGGAAAGCACTCCTGCAGTTATACTACTCTCTGGGCTAATGCAGCTGTTTGCCTGGCTGTTTCTGCTTTTATAGGCAGATGCAATGTGACTGTTGTGATTTCTTGACGGGACTGCTGAATTCATTTGTGGGTGTTTATTAGACCATGATTTTTTCGTAGTGGTAAACTGACTTTTCGTGTTTTGGACCAAACTGCCCATCGAGGAATGGAGCTCTAAAAGTAGCAACAGGCAAGGCAAAACACGAGTGCGAGAACATGTTTAACAGTGTCTGTAAAAGGTAGGCTGGAAAATTAAGAGCCCATTATGCAATACGATGCTACTGCAGAACACGGTAAACCCCAGATTGCATCGCATCAGGCTTGCCTGTGCGATCATGCTTTTTTGCGCTAAACTTGTAATAGTAGTCAGATTAACCCAGGCTGGAACGCACCTCTCCGGTGCGATCATGCGTTTTTGCACTAAACTCGCAGATCGCTATTAGCAGGAATGATCCCT